TTTCCCTATCCTACAGAAAAGATCTAACCTCAACCTCAGCTCTGGGTAAACCTCTGTGCTTCCATTTCCTGAGCTAGGATTTACAAAACATGCCTCTCAGAACTTTTTGCAAATTAAATGAGAAAATGAATATATAAAACAGCACCTAGGGTAGTGCATTCAAGATAGAGGCAGGGGCATCCTATCTGCACTGGGGTGGCTCTCAAGTCAGTACTTAAGTTAAACGCAAGTTCGATGCAGCACTATTGTAATCAGTCAGTGTTAATTTTCCTTCCTCAATCTTAACCACCACTTTTTTACACATAGCCATTCCCTTTACAGAACCTACAATGTAAGTCCGCCATTTTATGCAGACAGATCTCTGTCAGCCCAGGGAGATAGAAAAAAGGGCTAAGGCACATTTTACTTCTGGTTGCCTTTTCCCACGCATGTTATCCACTCCCTACCACCTGAGGTTTCAGTGTAATTCCAGCCCCAGTACTGACCTGCAGTGATACTTTGTTTTATCGACTATCAGTAACAATAACAGTAGCTACTATTTAGTGAGTACCTACCCACTTGATTAGGGACAGTTTATATACACAATCCCTAATTCCTTCATTGCAGGGTTGCTAGAATTGTCTCTGTTTTACAAGCAATAAAATTAAGATTTAGCGAGTTTAAGCAATTTGCCCAATATAACAGTCCTTAAGTGGAAAAACCAGGATTCAAACCCAGTCTTTTGGTCTCAACCAACACTGTACCATTATGCTGAAACACCATGGTTTATGTATAGAACAACCAAAACCTGTCTACTTGACCTAAATTCCCCAATAGATGTTTCCAGCAGGGAAACTGTCCTGTTGCCGCGATAGCTGGTTCTGGAATTCAATTTGCATGTTCATTCCTTATACAATAAGTGTTTCATCAGCATCATTAGGGTCTAACTTGAACATTCTTCCAGAGACACAACGCTGATAGTTCAAATGCTTTTGACTTGCAACATCTGCTTCCAAATGAACATGCTGCTTCTCTTCTTAAACACCTAAACGATCGGTTTTCTATGACAAAGTCTCAGACTCCCAGGATCAATCCCTTTGCCTCAGCACACAAATGAATTAATATCCTAGCTAGAACACCAGGATTTCTATGCTGATTCTTTTTGAAACATAGTATTCATGCAGCATGATCAAAAGTGTGTCTGAAAAAAAAAAAAAAAAAAAAAAAAATAGTGTGTATGGGGGCAAGGGTGGCAACGGGGGGTGGTTAAAGTATAAACCAAGAAGTCCTGTCAGATCATGTTTTGGTGCAAATGTATTATATGCTTTTCATATTCTTTCTCCATAACTTTTCTTAAAAGTGAATCAGAAGGTATAATTCAAGCTTGTTATCATATTCCCATGAGTGCAAAAATAACTTACATTTCTACAAATATTTTTGAGCCTTTTAATATACATTACAAATATTTTAGACCAATCACATTTTGTTGGTGTAACATATTTACAAAACAAAAAATATATTACAATAAATACGAACGAAACAGTGAATCTGATCAACAACGAGCTCTGTCACAACCAGGTATTTAAAAGGAATGCGAAAACCTGTTGGCCTGCATATGTTAAGAGTTTTGAGATGAATAGGGGTCCAGAATTATAATGTATCCAGAAAAGAGATAGGGAACATCCCAAATTTAAGTTAGGTAAGATTCTTTCTCATTGCTAATTACATAATGTTTAATGATGTTTTAAACTGTGAACATTGATGAATTACCCAAACATGATACAAAGCTAATATAGTTCTATCATTTCAAAATGTATGTGACATTCACATAATATCCTTTTAATTATTATCATTATATACTGTAGTTCACACAATATCTACAAATGTGAATGAGAAAAAAGAGTCACAGCAACATGTCTCACATTCCAGGTTTAAATAAGACAAGCACATACTGCATCAAACATTATTTTATAATATGTTAATAAATAACACCTAGTTTTTTATGGTTACTTTGAACAGTTTACAGCTGTATATTTAAAAAGAGAACATTTTAGGCGAGTTTCACATTGTCAGCAAAAGGTAAAATAAATAATGAATCTTTATAACAAAAAAAAGAAAGGAAGGAAAGGAAAGGAAGAAAGAGAAAGGAAGGAAGGGAGGGAGGGAGGAAGGAAGGAAGAAAAGGAGAAAGAGAGAAGAGAAAGAACGAGAGAGCTGTATATAGAACATAAAGTATTTCTGACATGCTGCTTTTCTGGTACAGTCTGCCACAAGAAAATGAAAATAGAAACAAAAAAATGATTGTCTTTTAAAAACAAGTTTTGAAAGCTTTCTACCATACTGAGCACGAACCTTTTAGGACTAGAATGGAGATCTTTTTTGCCATCTGCTTTGCATATATATCCTCTGCACACTGTGTGTGTGCACACCCAAAGAGATCTACTAAAGTCACAGGATAATAACAACTGCTTGCCCCTTAAAATGAGAAACAGCCAAAACACTGAACTGAAATCCAACCAGTCTGAAGTCTGCAAAGGTTTCAGTCTTGCTTTACTTTCACAGATGTCCCTGTGTGACTGTTGTTCCTGTGGACCCCCAGCAACTTTTCAAACAATAAACCCCACTGTAATAATCCAAGGGGTCCAATTTCATCAGGTGGGAAAAGGAACCTGGTTCCTTTTTCAAAAAGCCAGTCCTGACAAGCCATCGGACTCAGTCTGAAGGGAGCTCGGCTCTCTCTCTGCAACTGCCCCTGTCTGGTTACTAGTGGTTAGTGTTGTCGTCTATTCTCTTCCCACAGCTACTCACAAACCCAGAGGACAAGGGGGTCCATACTACACATCCTTCCTGATCCACTGTGAATGCGCCGAACTGCTTCACAACCTGCTCCCAGCAAAGAGCATTTTCTCTGCTAAGCAAAAGGAAAAGCACTAAGCCTAACGGCAAAATTAGGTTGTTGTTATGGTATTAAGACTTTTTGTTCAAGCATCCAGTTTTCTAAAGGAAAAGAAGGTAGCAGCCCAACTTTCTGACCAGGAATACAGATTTCTACACTCTCAGAGTCCCTATTTTTCTTTAGCCAGCATTTTCACGAAATTTTAGCTTATCCAGGAAGCGTTGGTAGTAATCACTGGATTGTAATATAATCACTTCCCACATAATTCAGGTTCTTTTACATCTGTCAGTCCTCTTGACCAAAAGAAGTATACAGTATTATGCTAGAGACCATAGTACATTTCCACTGAAAAAGATACTTGGTGCTTGTGTTCCTGGAGTCTAGGTAAAGCCATTGCTCAAATTATATCTTTCCAAGAAAATATGAAAACCATTTAAGTCCACCATGTAATCTTATTATTACAACTTTTGCTCATCATCCTATCCTCAGACACTGAGATGGGTGCTATGCCTTTGGTGGCCTCTATTTTCCATTCCCCCACAAAACGCTGAGCAGCCTCCCCAAAGGGCAGGCTGGAAGGCTGTAAAACTCTGCAAGCTCATCTGACTAAAAGTTCCTCTCCTGCTTTGGACCTTTTATGGTGGGGATCTGAGAAAACAAACATCCACATTCCTTATCAATGAGGAATTAATTTACGAGTAACTTAACAGTTAAGTACTGGATACACGTTGCTGGAGTTTTTTGGTTCACCTGTGAAAACCTCAGAACTGTGACACACACTAAGCATTAACACAGGTCTGCAGCAGAGATGGAAAAGCTCATAAATTAATACAAGGGCTTTTGGCCTTGATTTTCAAATTCAGACCAGGCATCATTGAGCTCCATGAAAATCATCTTTGCATATTGTTCATAAGGTTGCCCAGTAGCCTATAGAAAAAAAAAAACAAAAACACACGTTAGATACCACAGACCAAAGTTTTATTTCTATTAAATTTTTCACTGCTAATATGTGGGCTCTAAGGAATTGAAATGTTTTTCTATTAGGCCATTTCTCTTTTTACAGCCCCATCTACATGCCCCTCATTACTATGACCTCCCCAGAAAGCCCTCCCCCTAGGGATTCACATTTGGTAGTAGTGATCAGTCACTGAGTAGGTAATAGAGAAGTTACTGGGCAGCACAAAATGTATCTCCATTTCCAGAATTATCTATCAAATGACAAAGGTTCATGACTGCCTATCTCCAATTGATTAGCTATATTTTGAAAAACACATTTCCCCATTTCTTTTTTTTTTTTTAATAAATTTATTTATTTTTGGCTGTGTTGGGTCTTTGTTGCTGTGCACGGGCTTTCTCTAGTTGCGGCGAACGGAGGCTCCTCTTCCTTGCGGTGCTCAGGCTTCTCATTGCGGTGGCTTCTCTTGTTATGGTTGTGGAGCATGGGTTCTAGGAGCACGGGCTTCAGTAGTTGTGGCACAGGGGCTCAGTAGTTGTGGCTCACGGGCTCTAGAGCACAGGCTCAGTAGCTGTGGCTCAGGGGCTTAGTTGCTCCACGGCATGTGGGATCTTCCCAGAGCAGGAATCAAACCCGTGTCCCCTGCGTTGGCAGGCGGATTCTTAACCACTGTGCCACGAGGGAAGTCCCCATTTTCCCATTTCTAAAAAAAGTTCTTGGAGACCCATAACATAGGCATATAGTCTGTGAATTTTTCTGGGCTGTTTCCCTTTCTCTTTGATTCACTGAAACACATTATTTCTTTAATACTATCCAGATTAGTCACAAAAAGTGTGGAGAGACGAAAATCAAATATATCAAATTCAAGTACGTGTTCCCAAGCAGGACTTCAGTCACAGCCTCACGTCATAGGACTGGTATCCTCAGTCCACAAGACAGCAAGGGACCCGATTCTGTCAGGGAGGTTTCTGTGTATTACGGTGATCTCAACTGTGCCATCCAGTAGCTGAAGTTTCTGACAATGTGCAGCACGTATATGTGTATGTACTTCAATGAAAACATAAACTGGCATAATCAATATAGTGAAGCGTTTAGTTCCATTTTGAATATTTTGTTAATTCTCACCAAGTTTGCCAACCACGTTCTAAAGCTTTTTCGCTTTATAATCCTGGCTAAATATCCTGCTGTATCTCTAAAGAAGAACATTTTCCTGTCCAGCTCTTAGCCCACCCATAAGTCAAGACACAGTTTGTATCTGTTCCCTGAAAATTAGTCAGTGGTGAACCTTACACCTAAGGAAAGCCCCCATTCCATTATTTGTAATATATTATTTGATTCCTTTTCTTCTGTTTCATAAAGCATAACTATTTGTTTAAATACCTTTTTTGAGCCCATGGGATTTCTTTTATATAAATGGTCTAAGCAACGAGTTGATGATGCTTTGACGCATACTTGTAAACTAAACGACAGGAGGCCCAGACAAGCGGTGGGGGAGAGCAAGTTGTACTCACTTTATCTGGATGCACCACCAGCACAGCCTTCCTATACACTTTCTTCACCTGCTCTGGTGTGACCAGGTCTGCCATGCCAACTGGTTTCCACTTAGTCTCCCCAGCCCACAGCATGGTATGCATCGTGGACAGAAGGGCTCTGATATTTCTCTCTTTGCCTTCAATCCATTCCAGAATCTGTAAACACAGGGGCAATTAAGAGATCCAAATGCTTTCGAGTCCAGAGGGTCTCCACTGTGACTCTGGAAACCCCTCCTGCTCCAGCAACGTCGAGTACCTGCATACTCCAACCTTCCCTCTACCTGCTTTTCTTCCTCCACCCCCCACCTCGTCTTTCTGGTTAACTCTTCATCATCCTTCGAGAGCCTGCTCAGGAATTTCATACTGCTCTGCCTTTGAGAGTTTGAATACTTTCCTTCTTTAATTACTCACTCCTAAAGTATGAACTCCATGAGTGCCCACACCAGTCTGTCTGGGTCCCTGCTATCTGCTCCATCTAGTATAGTGACACAGAGACACTAAAAAAAATCCCTTGGAAAAAAGAACAAATTTCTCCGGGCTAACTTTTAAACATGCTTCTATCATAATATGTGTGACACTTTATTGTAATCATGTGTTTGTCTTTCCCTGCCACTAGGCAGACCTGTTTGAGGAAAGGTAGTGTTTTTTACATATCACTGTAACTCAGAAATCAAATAGGATGCCTGGCATGGAATAGAGCTCAAAAAGGTTTGTTAAATGAATACATTTAGTCATTCATTCCAACTATGAGCATTCATAGTTTGAATCTTCATAGTTCGAACAAATGAGATGATTAAATTGAAGGGTTTGTAACCATGCATCAGCATTTAGCACATAACAGAAGCTCAGTCAAGGTAAATGATGGCTACTCTCCCAAACGATTTAATACCCCATACCAACTAAATAACCAAGCATGGTTTAAAAGACAGAAATGACTTCCTTTTATAGAAAACTGTCAGAGTTTACCTAATGAATAGAGGTTCTTGAGATGGAGCACAAGGTTTTTGGAAGGAATATAAAACCTTTTGGACGTTGTATGAAGTGCAAAGCAAATACAAACAAAGGATCCTATACTGTACTCCAAATAGTATCTGTACATCTTCAACAAACGTTCATATCTGTAGGGAA